GAAAGGGGTGGACAATTCCCCAGAACTGAGGGCTCCTCCCACTTTTAGACCATATAGGGTAACTTCCTGAGGTTGCCATGGCATTTGTAAACTGTCATGGCACTGGTGGGAATGTCTTTTAGCAGGCTAATGTATTATAATTAGCATATAATGAGCAGTGAGGAAAACCGGAGGTCACTTTCATCACCATCTTGGTTTCAGTGGGTTTTTGTGGCTTCTTTACCACATCCTTTTATCAGCAAGGTTTTTGTGACCTTGTGCTGACTTCCTATTTCATCCTGTGACTAAGAATGCCTTAACCTCCTGGGAATGCAGCCCAGTAGGTCACCGCCTCACTTTACTCAGTCCCTATTCAAGATGGAGTCACTCTGGTTCCAATGCCTCGGACAGGAGGAGGGTAAGGGATACAAGACTACATATTGGGCCAGGTGCGGTGGCTCAAGCCTGTAATCCCAGCACTTTGGGAGGCCGAGATGGGCAGATCACGAGGTCAAGAGATTGAGACCATCCTTGCTAACACGGTGAAACCCCGTCTCTACTAAAAAATACAAAAAACTAGCCGGGCGAGGTGGAGGTGGCAGGCGCCTGTAGTCCCAGCTACTCGGGAGGCTGAGGCAGGAGAATGGCGTAAACCTGGGAGGCGGAGCTTGCAGTGAGCTGAGATCCTGCCACTGCACTCCAGCCTGGGTGACAGAGCGAGACTCTGTCTCAAAAAAAAAAAAAAACAAACAAACAAACAAACAAAAAAAACACATATTGGGTGCAGTGTACAGCGCTTGGGTGATGGGTGCACCAAAATCCCAGAAATTACCACTAACGAATTTATCCATGTAACCAAAAACCACCTGTATCCCAAACGATTGAAAAACATTTTATTTAAAGAGGAGACAGTTCTTTACCAAGAATTTACATCAAAACCATGTAAACTGTAGATCGACTCTACATTGTTCTTTGTACCATGAATTCCAAAACCCTGAAGAAAATGGGCGAGGCAGCTATCAGGAACAAAGTATCTTCAAATAACTGCCCTGGACGTGGGTGGGGAAGTGACTCAAGTTCCCACTCACGTCTCTCTGGGCCTAATAAATTTTTCGAACCTCGCAGGGCTCACACTGCTCGGCTGTTTCTCTTTTCATTCCAGGTTTAGATAAGGGAGGAATCATTAACAGGTCAGGTGGACCTGACCACCCCACAGTGTTCTTGTTTTGCTTTTGGCACAGGCAGTGTTTCTTGTCTGGGGAAGGGAGAGGGGTGCATCCAGTTGGTTGACACAGAACTTCCCAACCCCGGTGCCCACGTGCAGTGTCTCCCTCTTCCTCTTTTGTGAAAAGCCACACCGCACCTTGGGCATGCCACCTGGCCGAGGGAACCCAAGTCTGCAGGGAGGGGCCAGAAAACGTGCACCTTCGAGTGTATCTTCCTTCAGGAGCCAGTTCCTTATTCTGTCCTCACTTGAGCTCCCTTCCAAGCTCCTACTAGATGGCCCCGAGGCAGAGAGGTTGCTGATCACACTTTGACATGCCTGGGGTGTAAACTTCAGAGACATGACAAGGTGCCTATGTGTTTTCTTACCAAGAACAGAATGTGACCTCGCCTATCAGAGAGTGCACGTGCCCAGGAAGGGCGTGCTCCTGGAGAAGCACAGGCAGAAGGCGTGAAAGCCGGGGCAGCAGAGGCTCTTCAGGACTCAAGGGGCTTCTGTCGGTTACACATTACCCTGAATAGACACTCCTCTTTTTATTTTTGATTTATTTGTTTATTTTGTTGAGACAGTCTCATTCTGTTGCCCAGGCTGGAGTACAGTGGCATGATCTTGGCTCCCTGCAACCTTTGCCTCCTAGGTTCAAGCGATTCTCTTGCCTCAGCCTCCTGAATAGCTGGGATTATAGGCGTGAGCCACCATGCTCAGCTAATTTTTTGAATTTTCAGTAGAGATGGGGTTTCACCATGTTGGCCAGGCTGGTCTTGAACTTCCAGCCTCAGGTGATCTGCCCGCCTCGGCCTCCCAAAGTGCTGGGATTACAGGCGTGAGCCACCATGCCCCGCCGATACCCCTCTTGTTAAAAACACCATAACATAATTTTAACTTATTATTTTAACTGTCCTTTTTAAAATAAATGTGCAGTCGATTTGTGGTAAGTATATTCACATTGTTATGAAACAGATCTCCAGAACCTTTTTATCTTGCGAAACTGAAACTCTATCCCCATTAAACAACTACTCCCCATTTTCCCTCCCCAAAGCCCCTGGTAACCACCATTCTACTTTTCTGCTTCTACGAGATTGGGCACTCACGATGCCTCATGTAAGTAGGATCATGCAGTATTTGTCTTTTTGTAACTGATTTCTGAAGACCTAGAGCATGTCTTCATGAGTCCTTCCTGTTGTAACATGGAACAAGATTGCCTTCCTTTCTAAGGCTGGATCATACTCCGTTGTGCACACACCACATCTGGTTTACCCATTTATCTGTCAGCAGTCACTTGGGTTGCCTCTATTAATACCTTTGGCAATTGTAAGAAATGCAGCTATGTGCATGAGTGTACAAGTATCTCGATGAGCCCCCACTTTCAATTATTTTGGATATGTACCCAGAAGTGGGATTGCTGGATCACATGGTAATTCAAATTTTAATTTTTTTTAGGAATCACCACTCGGTTTTCCACAGTAGCTACACCATTTTACATTCTCACCAACAGTATGTAAGAGTTTCAGTTTCTCCACATCCTCACCAACACTTGTTATTTTCTGGGTTGTTGTTGTGTTATTGTTGTTGTTGTTTTTGGTAGTAGCCATCCTAACAGGTGTGAGGCGATCTCTCATTGTGGTTTTGATTTGCTTTTGCCTAATGATGAGTGATGTTGAGCATCTTTCCACGTTCGTGTTGACCATCCGTACATCTTTGGAGAAATGTCTATTCAAGTTCTTTCCTAATGAGACCACTCTCTTGAATCACAGAAAATGAGACTAGGCAGGCCATAAATAATATCCAGTGGTGTGCAGGAGCCAGCTTATGTATAATGTGAAAATAAATAATTCAAAATCAAAGCTGTTGGAAATTGGAATTATTTTGAGTCTTAAAGGAAGGTGCTTATAGGACCTTTAACCCCTCTCGCCTGGGCCGACAGGTGTGAGTCACTCTGCCTGGCCATGAATACACTCCTTTCAACTGGATTCTGATTCTTTAGATCATTTCAGGTTGCCAATAACCTCATCAACATCAAAAACTGGTGGGCGAGGTTGCTCACGCCTGCAAAATCAGCACCTCAGAGGCCGAGGTGGGCGAATCACTTTAGCTCAGGAGTTAAGACTGGCCTGGGCAATGTGGTGAAACTTCATCTCTACAAAAAATACTAAAAAAAAAAAAAAAAGAAAAAGAAAAAAAGCTAGCTCAGGGTGATGGCACATGCCCTTGTTCCCAGCTCCTCAGGAGGCTGAGGTGGGAGGATCACTTGAGCCTGAGTGGTCAGGGCTGGAGTGGGCTGTGATCATACCACCGCACTCCAGGCCGGGCAACAGCATGAGACCTTGTTTCAGGAAAAAAACAAAAAACAAAAAACACGACCAGAACAAAACCCACACTTTTGTGCCTCAAAAGACATTATCAAGAAAGTGAAAAGATGAGCTGGGGACAGTGGCATGTGCCTATATTCCCAGAGACTTGGGAGGCTGAGGCAGGAGAGATCAGGAGTTCAAGTCCAGCCTGGGCAATGGAGATAGACTCCTTCTCTTAAAAAAAAAAAAAAAAAAAAAAAAGTAAAAAGACAAGAGACCAGAAGAAAAATTTTTGCAAATCATATATCTTATAAGGGTCTGGTATCCAGAATATATAAAGACCTCTTACAACTCAACAACAAAAGACAAACAACCTAATTCAAAATGGGCAAAACACTTTTGAATAGATTATTTTCTCCAAAGAAGATATGCAAATGACCAAGAAGCACTTGAAAAGATACTTGGCATCATTACTCACTAGAGAAATGCAAATCAAAAACAAAATGAGGCATCATTTCACACATTAGGATGACTATCATACGTAAAAAAAAAAAAAAAGGAAATTAACTAGTGTTGGTGGTCAGGTGAGGTGGCTCACACCTATAATCCCAGCACTTTGGGAAGCTGAGGTGGGTGGATCACTTTAGCCCAGGAGTTCAAGACCAGCCTGGGCAACATAGCAAAACCCTGTCTCTACTAAAAATAGAAAAATTAACCAGGTGTGGTGGTGCACACCTGTAATCCCAGCTACTCGGGAGGCTGAGGCATGAGAATTGCTTGAACTCAGGAGGTGGAGGTTGCAGTGACCTGAGATTGCACCATTGCTTCCCAGCCTGGGAGACAGAGCAAGACTCTGGGAGACAGAGCAAGACTCTGTCTCCAAAAAATAAAATAAAACAAATGTTGGTTAGAATGTGGAAAAATTAGAACTCTTGTACCTTGCTGATGGGAATGTAAAATGGTTCAGGTACTGAGGAAAACAGTTTGGTGGTTCCTCAAAAACTTAAACATAGAATTACCATATGACCCAGCAATTCTACTCCTAGATGTATACCCAAAAAGAACGAAAAACATGTACTCAAGCAAATACACATGCATATATGTTCACAGCAGCAGTATCTATAATCACCAAAAGGGGGAAACAGCCCAAATGTCCATCAGTGGATGAACAGATAGGCAAATTGTGGCACATACACAATGGAATACTATACAGCTATAAGAAGAAATGAGCCAGGCACAGGGGTGCATGCCTGTAGTCCCAGCTCCCCAGGAGGCTGAGGTGGGAGGATCACTTGAGTCCCAGAGTTCAAGTCTAGCCTTGGCAACATAGGGAGATTCTGTCTCTAAAAAAAAAAAAAAAAAAAAAAACAGAAGTACTGATACGTGCTACATGAGCTTCAAAAACATGCTGAGTAAAAGAAGCCAGACAGAAAAAGGTTGCATATTGTACGATCCCATTTATGTGAAAAATACAGAATAGGTAAATCCATAGAGAATGCAGATTGATGGTCTGGGAAAAGGCTCCTATGTTGTTGAACCTGCCCAGTTGTGGGTGTGCAGCCCAACTCTGACCTAAGTAAATTCCCAGAAGTCTTTCCTGTATTTTGAATTTGTAGTAACAGCTGTGGGCATTCTAGCAGCAGTTCGATGATCATATATGATACCGCAAACAGGACAAAAAAATGCAGATTGGTGGTTGCCAGGGACTGGGCGCAGGGGTAATGAGAAGTGACAGCTAATAGGCACCTTTTCCTTTTGGGGTGAAGAAATAGATGAAGTTATTCATTAATTGTGCAACCCTGTGAATATACTAAATGCTGCCAAATTGTTCACTTTCAAATGGTTAATTTCATGTTATGTACATTTCACCTCAATAAAAAAAAGAAATCAATACTAGCCTGGGTAACACAGCAAGACTCTGTCTCAAAAAAAATTTTTTTAAAGACAGCTGTTTTGCTGGGACATCATTTATCTACCACTTACAGAACTGTAAGCTCAAATGCAATGCAAGGGCAGGGCCCTGCTGAATCAGGAATAATATGCTTTAAGCAATGCAGTTTTCCATGAAAGCGCACATTTTTCTCCATGGTTTGAACTCTGCCATGGTGAAAATGAGACAGGAATAATATAGGGTGATCGCAGGAGAATAGAAAATTCCAGGCAGCAGTTTTGCATGACTAGCAAAGGGAAACCATTGAAATAGCTGCAGAAGCAGGGGCCCTGAAAAACAGGATGTGGGCCAAGCTGGCTAAAGCCAACTGGAACCAATATAGCGCTGGATTTGACCTAGGTTTCACGTAGGACCTCATTATACGCTCATTAACATACTAAACCCTGCCAGGTTTGGTGGCTCCCGCCTGTAATCCCAGCACTTTGGGAGGCTGAGGCGGGCGGATCACCTGAGGTCAGGAGTTCAAGACCAGCCTGGCCAACGTGGTGAAACCCCATCTTTACTAATAACACAAAAAAATTAGCAGGACATGGTGGCACATGCCTGTAATTCCAGCTACTCAGGAGGCTGAGGCAGGAGAATCGCTTGAACCCAGGAGGTGGAGGTTGCAGTGAGTCGAGATCATACCATTGCACTCCAGCCTGGGCAACAAGAGTGAAACTCCATCTCAAAACAAACAAACAAACAAACAAAAACATACTAAACCCACATCCACCAGTGCCATGACAGTTCCTGGGACATCCATATTTGGCATAAAAACAGGTAACACCACACTTTTGAGAAACCCTCACCTTTTTCCAGGAATCTTCATAAATATCCCACCCCTTGGTTAAAGAAACCCAGAAGGTGGCAGCTGCAAAGCCCGCTGGATGCAACTCTCTTGCGTAGGCCCGAACTCTCCTTTCTTGAGTGTGTACCTTTTGCTTTGCAATAAATCTCTGTACTTTCACTATTTTCTGACTTGTCCTTGAATTCCTTCTAGCAAAGGGGTCAAGAGCCTGGACACCGCCTGGGGTTAAGGTCCCACTGGCGTTTGGGGACCTCCCCTAGCCCACTGGCATCAGAAACATTACACAAATCTGCTCACACTATAAATCAGCACCCGGCCCACCATCCCAGCCTGTTGAACATTTTCCAGCACATCACGGACTCTGGTACTACATCGGGCAGCAGGTCCAGATAACACATCTTGCATCTCACCTGGGATCTTGAGGAACATGCTATGGAAGCCAGCAGCCCTATGGGGGCAGCCACACCACGTGAGCATCGGCCACACCCTTGGCGACCCTGGAACCAGACCATCCTCCAGCCCCTGTTGGTCTGGAAACCTGCAACGGCCCCATCACTTGGGAACTGGTTAGAAAAATGCAAAATCCACTTGATTCCAGATCTGCTGAATCAGAACCTGCATTTTGGCCACATCCCTGGTGGTTCAAGCTCACATTTAAGTTCAAGAAGCTCTGCTCTGGGCTTTTCCTGAATGCGGCACACCAGTGATTCCTCCTGGCCCCAAGGCCTCTGTGCCCAACCGGGGCTGACTTACCCCTGGCCTTGCACAGCACCCCCAAGGCTCTCCTTGGTGTTGATGTGGGCACTGGCTGACTGCCAACAGCACTCTGTGCCTGCTCTCTGACTCTGTCCCGCGTCTGCTTTTCCTCCTGGGATAACGTGGTGCTGGTGTTGATGAAAAGAGTCAAACTGTAAAATATTTTTAGAGATTTATTCTGAGCCAAATACGAGTGACCACGACCTGTGACACAGCCCTCGGGGGTCCTGAGAACATGTGCCCAAGGGGGTCAGGGTACAGCTTGCTTTTCTACATTTTAGGGAGGCATGAGACATCAATCAAATATATTTAAGAAATACATTGTTTTGGTCCAGAAAAGCGGGACAGTTCAAAGGTAGGGGAGGGTTCTTACAGGCTATAGTAAATTTAAACACTTTCTGGTTGACGGTTGAATTTGTCTAAAGACCTGGGATTAAACAGAAAGGAATGTCTGTAAGATAAGAGGTTGTGGAGACCAAAGTTTTATCATGCAGATGAAGCTTTTAGCTAGCAGGTTTCAGAGAGAATAAGTTGCAAAATGTTTCTTACCGTCTTTAAAGTCTGTGTTGTTCATGCTGGAGAGATTTGATGAGGTATGTTCGAACCCTACTTCCACTATGGCCTGAAACAATCTCTCAGGTTAAGTTTTAAGAGCCCCGGCTGAGAGAAGTTCATTCAGATGGTTGTGCGGGCGGGCGGGGTTGGGGGGAACTTAGAATTTTATTTTTGGTTTACACTGGAGTGACAGTGGTGCAGGATGGGGCAGGTTTGTTCCCCTCCAGGCGAAGACAAGTGCTGGCTGCAGAGAGGTTTTATCTGCTGGTATTTGAGAAGCTTTCCCTGAGGCAACAGGCCCAGGCAAGTTCAGGGTTCTGCTTTCTTCCAGGGAGAAAAGCTAAAGGGAGGGAGGATCTGATCCCATCTCTGGCATCATGGTCCTAAGAAATTGCTGGAAATGGTTTCCTCATTAACAGGTACTGCCCAACAAGAATAAATCTTCCCTCCCGGGTCTCCTATTGACTGCTGAGGGTGGGCCTGGGTTCCTGGGAACAAAGGAGGGGTGAGGTGGGACAGGGAGTTCAATCTTCATGATCACTTGGGTAATGCAAGAAAGGCTAACTAGCAGGGATAATGACAGCTGGGCTTTCTCTAGGGCTCTTTCTCCAGCTTAGTCATTGCCTGAAGTGTAATTGCCCGGATGGGTTCTTCCTGCCGGCTACACTGACAAAGTCAATTGACTGAAACCATGGCATTGCAGTAAAGAAAGAGTTTAATTGCTACGAGGCCAGCCACGCCCTAAGGGAGAGGGAGTTACCACTCAAATTAATCTCCCTGAAAGCTCAGAGGCCAGGGATTTTCTTTTTTTCTTTTTTTTCTTTTTTTTTTTTTTGAGTTGAAGTCTCACTTTGTTGCCCAGGCTGGAGTGCAGTGGCACAGTCTCAGCTCACTACAACCTCTGCCTCCCAGGTTCAAGTGATTCTCCTGCCCCAGCCTCCTGAGTAGCTAGGATTACAGGCATGTACCACCATGCCTAGCTAATTTTTGTATTTTTTTAGTAGAGATGGGGTTTCACCAAGTTGGTCAGGTTGGTCTTGAACTCCTGACCTCAAGCAATCCACACACCTTGACCTCCCAAAGTGCTGGGATTATAGGCGTAAGCCACTGTGCCTGGCCAAGGTTAGGGATTTTCAAAGATAGTTTGGTGGGCAGCAGACTAGGGAATGGATGCTATTGATTGGTTGGGGAATGCCATCATAAGGGTATGGAAAATGGTACTGGTGCTTAACAGAGCAGGAGCATCACCATCTTGAACAAACACCACCATCCTAAGTTCCACTTAATTAAAAAACCCCTAAATCCAGCCCCAAAACATCAGCCTAATGGCTAATGTCAGCATAACCAGAAACATTCCAACCCTAAGATAAATCCCTCTCTGACCAGAAACATGCCAACCCCAAGGTAGCCTCCCCTGTGACCAGAGACATTCCAACCCTGCAATAAACTTTCCCTCATATAGAAACATTCTGAACCTACGATAAGTCCCCTTTTTCAAAACCCTTAAATATTCTTAGTCTGTAAGAGAGAAGAACTCTCTGACCTAACTCATCCAGAAGCCCCTCTCAGGTTTGTTTTCTCTAAAATAAACCTGTCCTTAACTGTCAAGCCACATTTTGTGTTTCTTTCTTCTTTCTTTAAGTCTTACATTTGGTGCCACAACCCGGGATGGGTGCTGGCAGCAAAGGCTCTCTTGCAACCCAGGAGGCAGTGGGCAGCAGCAGCCCTCGTCCTGAGCTAACTCCTGGATCCTGAGAGCCTCTGGAAACCCACCCTGTCTTTTCTCTTACTTCACTTTTCAAGCAATTTGTGTAAAGAGGACAACTAATCTGAAGGAGATTGCAAGGCTCGGGCCAGAGCTACTCTCTGATGGGCTCTCAAAACCCTCGGGTATCAGGAATCCACCTCCAACTGCCCACAACAGGTATTTCACTCTCTAGCCCTTGTTCCCTCTTCCTTCCTCTTCTCTCTCTCTTCCTCATGTGGCTCCAGTCCAGGAGGCCCTCTGCCAATTCCAACTGGAACATCCAACATTAGACAGTCATCCAGCCAACTGGGAAAATCTGCCTTCCCCTGGCTTTCTTGCAGTACCTGGGAAAGTCAGGTCTGCTGTCCTGGTCCTCAGAGGGCCAATGGGACTAAGCTAGAGGAAATCCTGGGGATGCCCAGTTTCTTCTCAGCTTAACTGTCGTCTTTAGAAAGAGGATTCTGGGTCTCTGTCTTTTGTCTGGGGATGCCTAGAACAAAAACAGACACACTCAGTTTCCTCTTACCAGCCCACATGGCTGCCAAAAAATCCCACATTCCTAGATCCTCCCCACTGGGCTGTCTCCTTTGGAACCTCACCAAACTTGGCTTATGGGGGAACCTAAAGCCAAAGCATTTAGTTTTTTATTGCAACACAGCCCAGCCCCAATACAAATGAAATAATGACAGTAGATGGCCTGAAAATGGCACCTTTGACTTTCAAATTCTCAGGGACCTTAACAACTTTATAACCAAGAATAGCAAATGGCAAGAGATTCCCTATATTTGGGCTTTCTTCTATCTTAGATCCCAACCCTCCCTATGCCAAGCTTGCACCCCTCATGAAATCCCTCTTCTTAATGAAAATCCTCCCTGA